AATAGTGTGGCAATGAACATGGCTGTGCATACATCTATTCTTGTCCAGGCTCTGACTTCTTTAGGATACATACCTAGTAATGGGATTGCTGAGTCAAATGGTATTTCTAATTCCAGCTTTTTAAGGAATCACCATACTGTTTTCCACAGTAGTTGTATCATTTTATAGTCCCACTAGCAGTGTATTAGAGTCCCAATCTCTCCACATCCTCACCAGCATTTGTTATTTTCTGTCTTGTTGAACTCTGCCATTAGTGTTGGGGTGAAATGATATGTCATTGTTGTTTTGATTTGCATTTATCTGATGGCTAATAGCATAGTGCCTAAGGCACTTGACTGCTAGTGGTTCAAACCCATCTGCTACTCCTTGGAAGGAAGATGGGGCTTCCTTTTTCCATAGTGATACTGCATCGGAAACCCAACAATGGCTAATAATCATGAGCATCTCTTCATGTATTTGCTGGCCACCTGAATATCTTCTTTGGCGAAGTGCCTATATTCATGTCTTCTGCCCATTTTTTAATTGGATTGTTAATCTTCTTGTTTTTGAGGTGTTGGAGTTTTCTATAAATTTTAGAGATAAGTCCCTTGTCAGATAAGTAATTATCAACAAGTATGAATTTGTTGCTGTCATTTGGTTATGTGTTTTGTGGTGCTGATTTCTTTGTTCCACATAATTTTCCGTGCTGAGTTTGTTTTGTTTATGAATCGTGTTATCACTTCCTTCATTGCTATTTATGTTGTTGCTGTTGTTATGTGCCATCGAGTCAGACCCGACTCATAGTGACCCCTCCTTGGGTTTCTGAGGCAGTATCACTATGGAAATAGATTGCCCCATCTTCTGTCCAAGGAGTGGCTGGTGGGTGTGCTGGTCTTCTTTTTTATTTTGATGTGAAGGTTTATCATTTTTCTTTGAGGTTACCCTGTGATTTACAATTTTCTTCCCAAGTTTAGAGCAGTCCATTTTGTCTTGTAGTTGTCTTGACTTCTCTACCATTTAGAAGTTCTGTAACTACACAATTTTATCCCCTTTTTGGTTTGTAGTTGTCCTTATTTGTCAATTGATGTCTCTGGTTTCCCGTTTACAATCTTGTAGGCTTATTTACTTTGGATACTTATATAACTAGGATGGTTTCTGGGTTATGTCACCATTTCGTTAATGGTCAGAACCAATCGATTTTGGTTCTCTTTCCAAAGGACTCCCTTTAGCATCTCTTGTAAGGTTGGTCTGGTTTTAACAAATTCCCTTAATTTCTACTTATCTGGAAATGTCCTAATTTCACCAACGTATTCGAGGGACAATTTTGCTGGGTATATAATTCTTGGTTGGAAATTTTTCTCTTTCAGGGTTTTATGTATACTATCCCATTGTCTTCTCACCTGCATGGTTTCTGCCAAGAAATCTGAGCTTAGTCTTATTGGTTGCCCCTTCTAGGAAACTTTTTGTTTTTCCCATGCAGCTTTTAGGATTCTTTTTTTTGTCTTTGGTTTTGGTGAGTTTGATGATGGTATGTCTTGGTGATTTTCTTTTGAGGTCTATCCTGTTTTTGGTTCACTGGACTTCTTGAATGGATATATTCTCATCCTTGATCATAGCAGGAAAATTATCTTCCAACAAATCTTCAACAATTTTCTCTGTGGTTTCACTTGTCTCTTCCTTTTCTGGAATTCTGATTACATGTAGGTTACTTGTTTTGATGGTATCCGACATGAACCTTAAGTTTTCTTCATTTTGTTTTGAGCTTTTTCCTGATTGATCCCTTTCCAAAGAAGCATTGAGGTATTTGCCTTCAATCTCACTAATTCTGTCTTCCATTGATTCAATTCTACTCCTTTGCCCATTCAATGTATTATCTATTTCTGCAAATTTAGTATTAATCTTCTGGATTTCTGTCTGTAGGTTTTGTATCATTTCTAATTTTTCATTGATTTTGTCATTTTGTTCTTTTATTGTCTTCCGAAATTATTCTAGGGTTTTCTCTGTGTTTGCCTCAATTTTGTCAGTGTTTTCCATGATCTGTTTCTCAATCTATTGAAAGTACCTGTGGTGGTTATATTTGTGTGTCAACTTGGCTGGGCCTGGCTGAGTGGCTGGGTAGCTGGTGGTAGTTTTCTCCATGATGAGACTGGCAATCACCTCCATGCAGGGACCTACCATAAGCAGCTGAGTAGCTGCTGTAGGGATGTGGTCTGCTTCCCATATATAAGAAACAACTCTGGGAATGGTTTCTAGCTTATGGCACACTTAAACCCTGCATGTAGCTGTGTCATTTTTCAGCAGCCTGCCATGCTCTGCCAACCATGGGACTTTCAATGGACTTGAACTAATGGCCTGCTGTGTGGTTTGGTAACATCGGGACTGTGCCTTTTTACTTGTCAACCTTGGGCTTGTCAGGCTCAGTAGCCAGCAGCTGCTAAGAGAAGAAAAGCCTCTATCTCCAGTGGGCTGGGAGCAGGAGGCAGAGCTGAACCCCAAGGTTGAATTTCTTATCAGGGAGTTCCAATTCTGCTTCTTCCTCAGAAATGTGTTTTGGGTCTGTATTCTGGTCCCTTGTTTCTCCTGCTCTATATTTCTTCTTTGTGTGGACTGTGATGGTCTGTTGTCTCTGAGGCATTGTGATGTTTTTGTGTTTATATTTAATTGGTGATTGTATGTTGGAGTGACTTGCCCACAACTTTAGTTTTCTTTGTTTTGTTTTTATGTTATTTACGTAAGCAGTGTATAGTGCTATGTTCCTCTATTCGCTAGTTGGCAGTACTTATACACTCACCACCTGTCTCTTTTCCCGTTGTCTGCCCATTGTATGTCCCTGCTGTCCTTCGCAAAGGGAGCCTGTTCTTAGGTCCCTGGAATCTGGATGAGAATGCTATCACTTTAAAATCCAAAATGGCTGCTGCTTGTGAACATTCAAAGTGGCTGTGCCCTTGGTCACTTTAAATATCCAAAAGGGCCACTGCTGGTAAACAATCAAAATGGCTGCATCTTCCGGACAGCCAAAAGTCCCCAGCTCAGGCTGCCTCTCTCTTTGCTATTTACTTTCCTAGTCATGGGCCACCAGCACAGTCATCCCTGCAGCCCTTGGCAACCAGGGCTGATCTTTAAGTGAATTCTCAAGTCCCAACACCACTTGGAAATATTTAGGCTGTTGGTTCTGTTAGAGTAGCTGATAGTCCACTACTCCGACCGTCTATATACTCATTGTTTTTGTTTATGTTTTTCCACTTGTTGTTGTTGTTGTTATGTGCTGACAAGTCAAACCCGACTCATAGCGACCCCTCCTTTGGTTTCCGAGGCAGTATCACTACGGAAGTAGGATTGCCCAACCTTCCTTCCGAGGAGTGGCTGGTGGGTTTGAACCACCAACCATCTGGTTAGCAGGAAAGTGTCTTAGCCACTATGCTACCAGAGCTCCCAATCCACTTCTATATACTTCCTTTCAAAGCTCAGGGTTACAGGATTATCTTCTGTATCTTTGTCAATTGGTTTATCTTTTCTTTGTTGAAGAGGGTCTGTGTAGCTTGCCGCCTATTCCGCCATCTTACCGGAAGTCTCTGTGGTTGTTCTTTATTTTGTGTATCTCTCAGTGTCTCCATTTACCTTGGTCACACTGTGCTGACTTCCCTCATATTGCATATTGCCTTTCCCTTCACCAGAATTAACACTACCTAGAAGTACAGCCAGAATACATCTCAGAAGCAAGAATAGCCAGACTCATCCCTGAAGAAAGATATTATGCTTGGTAAAGTAGAAGCTCGGCCAAAAAGGAGAAGACCTCAACCAGATGGACTGACACAGTGGCTGCAATGAGGGCTCAAGCATAGCAAATATTGTGAGGATGGCACAAGACTGGGCAATATTTCATTTTGTTGTGTATAAGGTCACTATGAGTAGGGGCCAACTTGACAGCACCTACCAACAACAATGCTATAGAAAGTGATTCTCTCTTCCTTTCCCTCCCATTCTTAGTAACCATCAAAAAACGTTGTTTTCTGTGTGTAAATCTATTCCTAAGTTTTTATAAAAGTGGTCTCATACTGTATTTATCCATTCCCAACTGACTTATTACATTCAGTATAATGTCCTCAAACTTTATCCACGTTATGTTTTGTGGGCACATCATTATTCTTTATAGTTGCATAGTATTCTATTTTATGTATGTACAACATTTTGTTTCTTCATTCATTGGTTGATGGACACTTGGGTTTTCCATGTTTTTGCTCTTGTGAATAATATGAATGAATATATGCTATGAATACCATAGTGATACTGCCTCGGAAACCCAAGGAAGGGTCGCTATGAGTAAGGTATGACTCGACGGCACATAACAACAACAACAACATATATTCTATATCTCTATTAATGTCACTGCTCTTATTTCTCTAGGACAGATTTCTAGGAGAGGGATTGCTGGATAATATGGCATTACTATTTATTGCTTTTTGAGGAAGAACCATACTATTTCCCATAGTGGTTGTACCATTTTGCTGTCCCACCAGCAATGTATAAGAATTCCAATCTCACCACAACTTCAGCAGCATTTGCTGTTTTCTGTTTTTTGATCAATGTCATTTTTGTAGGGATGCGATGGTATCTCATAGTTTTGATTTGCATCTTTCTAATGGCTAATGACTGTGAGAGTCTCTTCAGCATTTGTGTTTCTTAAAGATATGGTAATATGTTTCAAAATAAATGAGTTGATAGTGGACACACTCATATGAGAAAAAAAAAACAAACCAAGATTGCTCTCATCTGTGTCTCTTAAGACAAATTCCTTAGTGGGTACAATGGGGAAACAGGCATTCCTAAGCAAATCTCTTTTCATCAAGAAAGCCAAAACTGAGGATAAGTGACCTTGTCTTCTGTAACACAGCCAGATTATGGTGAGACTAAATGGAAGAAAAATCACAACTTGTTTAATCAACACGAAGGAGTGTTGTGACCTACTCAGACTAAAGCAGAGATTCCAGTGACCTAAATAAAACAGAAGGCTGGTTTTCTTCTTACCTTTCACTCACAGCTTGCCAGTTGTTGACTAAAAACTCCTTTGCGATATATCGACCAACTTCAGATGCTGCCACAGCTTCGATTATATTTGTTTCATTAAAATTGAATGGAGATGTAGTGATGGCATATTCCATATATCTGCAAAAATGCATTAAAAAAAATAAATTAGAATCCAGTATAAAATGTTAATTTAAATAAATGGCATTAAAATGGAAGATGGGGCAATCTACTTCCATAGTGATACTGCCCGGGAAACCCAAGGAGGGGTTGCTATGAGTCAGGTCTGACTCCATGGCACATAACAACAACAATAATAAAATCACATATGGCTCTAAGCTAGTGATGCACAAATTTGTATTTTTTAATTCTTATATTATTTAATATTTTATATTATATATACAATATATTATACTATAAGTACATTTCTATTTTTCTCCCATCCCAGAGACTTTCAAGTAAGTTGATCATAATCACCTATTAAGTATCCATGGGTCTTTACTGCAGCTCATAGCATAAGCCAGTTGAATCCTTTCTTCTTCCTTTGTTTTGTTAGTGTAGATATTTAATAAAAAGTCCCATTCTTTATCATTTCCCAAGGCAATACCATGACATAAGATCACATTTTTAATTGGATAAGGTATTCTGTAAAGTATAACAGGTAATGACATCTCTCATAGTAAAGTTATACAGTAATCTGTGTTGTCATATATTTAAAAATATAAATCTAGAAAAAATATTTGAGATCTCAGATATAAAGAGCAAAAGTAGGGATCTGGAGTAGCAAGAAAGGGAAATGTCATCAGCATTAAGACTATAAGAAAACATTAATAAATTAATTAGAAATGAAGGAGTTTTTTGTTTTTGTTTTTGTTTTTAATTTTATTGTGATTTAGGTGAATCTCAGCACTCAGGGAGACTGGAAACTCAGAGAGAGATATGCTCTGATAAACTTAGATATATAACGATAACAAAAATCATGAAGGAAAGACAATACTTTTTGGAGAATTCATTGGCAATGGAAAGTACTAGGTGACAACTCACTGTATAAATTCTAATCTTCTACTGTTACGCTTAGATCAATACTGGAAAATTATATCTATATCTATATCTATATATCTATATGTATATCTACTTCCCTAGTGATACCGCCTTGGAAACTCAAGGATGGGTCGCTATGAGTTGGAGCCAACTCAATGGCAGTGTGTTTGTTTGTTTTATGTGTGTATGTATACACACACACACGTATTTGAAAAGAATAGCAGGAGAGAGAAAGTGAAAAGTAAAATCATCAGTCCCAGAGTAAGAGCATTACAAAGATAAATTATTGGTGCTGAAATAGGGGAGAAACAAGGGTAATTACAAGATTAGTCTTACTCATTCTCTGGATAGTTCATCCATTTTCTGAAGAGTTCTCTTGACAGCTGTAGACAGTCTTCAAAGCCCAACCAACACGCAGTTCCAAAAAGTTTTTCCAATGATATTCTTGAAAGAAAAGTAAAAGAAAAAGTATATTTTGCATTACTACATTTATTTTCTGTGCCTCCAAGAATGTGTTTAATAAGAGGATGGGTATTTAAAAACATCCTTCCAATAACATCAGGTGTTTTTTTTTTTTTTTTTAATAACTTTCATGGATGACAAACATATTTAAGATTCAGAGAAATATTTGCTGAGAGGCTCTGGCACACCAAAAAGCTCCTAAGTCTGGTATTTTTTTGAAAGTTAGAAATAAATTACTGCCACCCTTCATCTCCCTCAAACACACTACATCTGTGATCAACTTATTTTTCCTCCCTTTTATAATAATTGCTTTATGGATGAAAAAAAATGACTTTAGAGAATCCGATATAATTCAGATCTAAAAATTAAATTCTTTTCCTCTAAAAGGAAAGAAGGAAGAGCTTATTTCTCTAACAGTGCACCTTCTCCTTTGTAAAGCTTCTGCTCCTTCCTTTTTTCTTCCTGTTAGATTTATGTCTAGAAAAATAAATAGAAGTTTTTATTTTTATTATTTTGTTTTTTATAGCTGAGCAAGGGCATAAGTTATGGTTCAAAACAAAGTAAGTTCTAAAGAATACAATGAAAGCATTTTGAAAAAAACCAAGTAACTACCTGGTAACTGCAGTGTGTCTCTCTACCATCTCTAAATTGGGAGTCATAGATAAACAAACCCAACTTGGCCATAAGAAAATGCAAGAACAAAATTTCCATCATTCCACCCTCCAATTTCAACCTAGCCTGGCCTGACTTTGAGCAGAAGTAGAATGTCCAAGGGTGGAGGCTGCTGAGACACTTCTGGGCATTCATTTATAAATTCCCTCTCCCCACCCAACCCAACCCCAAGTTGGCAGCAGCAAGATAGAGTTCAATGGAAGTGCTAACTTCCCAACTTTGCCCAGAGAAGGACTTGGTCTTGGATGCTACAAATATAAAGTAAACCACTTAAGTCTAATTAGTGATAGTTAAGGATGGTTAATTAAAATACAAGCCCATGTTACTTTTCCATTCATTCACACAATTTACCTCTCTACTCTCTATACCACCTAGTTCTCATATCTTCCACCTATTTGTTCATTTAACCCTGTATCCTCCTAATCACTGAAAACTCTATTCCCTAGTACTAAAATGTCTACCCCCCTAGAAGTGTATTATTGATAGAGAATAATCACATTTTATATATTTTGTATTTCTTGTTTGGTTTAATTGATTCGTTTGGTGTTGACCAAAAAGAACTTGTAGATATATGTTCTGTACTGTTGTTGGCTACAAACTCCCTGCTACACCTGGAAGCCCAGCTTACATGTACCTTGGGTCACAGAGAGGCCAGTAGTACCATCAAGTCCACTTGGACTTTCACCTCATTCCAAGACCATCAAGAAAATGTGCTTACATGTCTCATCAAACCAGTGATCTGAAAGCCATCTGGAAAATTTATGCATGCTCACACAAAAATGACTGGTATATTCACTGTTAGTCTTCCCCATCATATTTGCATAATTAGAGAAGTTTTGTTACCAATAATACATCACAGGGACTTTTGTCCCCTGTAGCCTTCCTAAGCCTTCTAATTCATTATTATAGGCTCATTTTGCTTAATAGAACCCTTCATCAATAGTAGAATGCACTGAGAATTTCATCCAGTAGCCTAAGATTTAAGAAATAGGGCCAAAATCTTTTATGTATGCATATGTATCTTTGCATGTAAATTAAGATCCTAAACTATTATTTCCTATCAGGATGCGTGTAGATCACCAATTCTAGAGCTACTGTTCTCAAATAGCATACACAATTCCTCAGTGAATCATAACAAAAATCCAAACCAAACCCATTGCCATTGAGTTGATTTCAATCCATAATGACTCTATAGTTCACAGAATTGTCCCACAGGGTTTCCAAGACTGTAAATCTTTATGGAAGCATACTACCTCATCTTTCTCCCACAGAGCTCCCGGTGGGTTCAAACCACTAACCTTTTGGTTAGCAGCCAAATGCTTTAACCACTGTACCACCAGAGCGCCTTTTCAATGAATTATAGGTATTAATATTTTATTTTATGAATCTTGAAATCTATTAATATGAACAATTTCATTCAGTTGTCACTACTTTAAAAATACTTACAGAGCTAAATAGTCATCTTGCAATGCTGCTATGTTTTCACGAATGATGGCTGAATAAATATTCCATATTGAATTAAGCCTCTGTAGCAGATATTTCTATAAACAATAAAGAAAGTATACTGTTACTTCTGCCTCACAACACTGAATTTGTACTGTATTCCTTTGTATCTTGAAGAACATTAATAGAAAAGTGGTAATTATTTCTGTAGAAGTGATCTTTAATTGTTGCTAAATGTGTAACTGGTTTATTTTTTAACCTCTCAAGGTTCTCTCAAGAACATGAGGTTTATAATAATATCAATACTACAGTGCTTTTGTAAGGATTAAGCTAGATAATGTATGTAAGCCACTTAGCACACTGCCTGTCACACAATAAGAACTTCTTAAAGATTAGCTATTATAGGTAGTCCTTGACTACATATATATATGTGTGTGTGTATATATGTATGTATGTGTATATGAGAGAAGTTTTGTTACCAATAATATGTCACAGGGACTTTTTTTTATATACACACATATAGATAGATATACATATATATATATATATTCAAGTTATAACAAACCACAATTATGACCATCTTTTTTTTTTTTGGTACAGCTTATCATTAGTAATATGTACTACATACAATGTTGCAAATTTGCCAATGTTATCATTTTCATATCAACCCCCAAAGACAAGTAAAGATCACATTTATAAAGATAATGATAATAAAAAGAAATAATAATTAAAACAAACAAACAAAAGGAGATATTTCATTTACATAGAACCAAATTACAGAGTTGTCAGAACAGAATTTTATCATAAGTTGGGGACAATCTGTATTATCATTTAATATCAGCCTAAATATTTCAAGTGTTTGCAAAATACAGGGAAAAATAAAAATATTAAACTTTCTAACTTAGAAATTTCATGCTAAGTATGCATACCTTCAGGAAAAGGTTTACACAGCGGACAAATTCAAGCACCCACCTTGAAGCCTATTGGGTAAACTTTAGAGTCTGAAATAAAGTTTCTTCAGTTAAGCTCTAAGTTGGTAAATAATAAGATTATGAAAGCCATACCTTTACCAATACATCTCTTAGAACAAATTAGATGCTATTTATTGAAATTCTTTGAAAACAAATATTATTGGTTTTTATTTCTTCACCTAGAACCAGACATCAGATATTTTCAGTGAGACAACTCAATCTCAAAAATTTAAATGTCATCTTTAATTTGTGACCAACCACACACTCAACTAAGTTTCCATTAGCACTTTGGATATTAAGAAAGAAAACTCTGAAACCTTGAGGCATTTGTTGTCTCACTCTTTGACTGACCCAGAAACTCACCTAGAATCACCACCTCAAACACTTTCAGCCTTGTTTGTGGCCTCTAACAGTCCTAAAGTTTGCTTTCTTGCTTTCCTTTGATTTTACCTTTGCCACCATCCTTACAATCACATGTAAGATCTAATAGTGGGACTTCCCTCCTTTTATATGTTTTTCAGTAATGTTTGTCATTTCTTCATTCATTAATTCTAAGTTCTTTCTTTAGAACAACATCAAAAGCAACTTCAAAACTTGTATTTTTTTCTGGAATATACCTCTCTGATTTTAAGTGCTGCTCATGTTGATCATAATATTTTTATTAAGCACATGAGGTCATTAAATATTCTATTTATCTAACAATCTCATATGGAAATAGTTGCTAGTACACACTACCCTTTTCTATAAGCAAAAAGATGAACTATTTTTGACTACTTCTAGTTTCAACTACTTCTTGTTTCTTAGGGCACACTGTCATTTTACCTATAAAGAAATATCCTTCCAAACTTCTCACATACTCATTTTCTAAACCAAGTCTATGATAAACATACTTTCTTTCAAGAGTAATCAGGCATTACTTGAATATAGACAATGGATATATATGGGGCTAACAGACTTTCTTCAGTAAAGACCTGTCTTACATGTACTAGCTAGAATTTGGAAAGAGTAAGAGAGGATTTTTTTCTTTCAACTACATAACAGAATGAAATTACCTTTAGTAATGGGTATAAATCATAGCTGTTCACATCAGAAACAAGATCCCTGGTTATCAGGTTTGCCAAGACTGCATGCCATACTATGATTTCATCTTCTTTAGCAAGGTACTTGGTTAAATCAAGTGCTGTTTCAATATCCATATAATTGTTTCTGTTTGGTTTTAAAACATACACACAATCAGAAAACCTCCACTAGCTTGATGATCTGGACACTTTCCATACGGGTTCCACAGATGGAACCCAAGCAATGTTGAAGGCTTTTTATTTCAATCTGGTACTTTCAGGTACCCAAATTCTTGGAGGCTATAGAAAATCCAGGCCAAATGTTGGACTGATTATTGGGAAATAGAATATTTGTACATTTATGCATTCTTATGACAATATAACTTCCAGTAAAACAAGTGTTAATTAAAAATCATTCTCTTCTAATACTCTGCTAGCTACTGGTATGAATATAAACTAAGATATGTGACACTAGATTTATTTACCACCGAGGATCTTATTATTTCAATGAGGAGTTGAGATTAATAAAGGCCCCCAGAAAAAGCAATGACTATGATAAAGTAGCAAACAAGGAAAATAAGTAGCTATGATGGAGAAGTCAGGGAAGAAGGAACTCCTCCCTGACTCTCATGGAGAAGGAACTTGAGAAAGTCAATGAAGGATGAGTAGGACTGAAACAGCTAGAGAGAAAAAAATGGCACACTGGGCAAAAAAGATAAGGTGGGAATGAGTGTGAACAGACCATGCTAACAGAGGCAAGGATCTTATTTTTTATGTAAGTGAGAGGTGAGGGCTAGTAGTTAGGGTGAGTCAAAATTGTGGAGAGCCTTCAATGTTAGTTTAAATAGTTTAGGTTTAGTGAAATTTATTGAAAGTATTTAAACAAATTCAAAGATGCCAAAGGCTGGAGGATAAGGCAATAGGCCAGGCAAAAGATGATGAAAGCTTGGATCAGGGTAGAAGCAGTGAGGGTAGTAAGTAAAGTGAAAATCAAGAATGGAGGGATAAGATGCAGTACTGGATGAGCGTGGAAGATGGAGAGACGGAGAGGAGTCAAGGATGTCTTTGATGTTTCAAGTATGATTCCTGGGAAGAATAATGGTGCCTTTGACAAAGAGAAAGAAATTGATAGTAGGAGCAATTTAGAAACAGAAAAAAGTTCAGAATAAAACCACAGGATAAACAGAAGACAAAAAAATAAGACAATTTAGAACATAGATTTAGAAATCATATCCTCTCACAAACACTTATTAAATTCCTTATAATTGCTGGGCACTGTACATGTATGTGATAAAATGATTATTGATGCCTTAAGAATGAATAACTTATCCACAGGAAAAATGAAAAGGGAAAATAATATAACTGTGACTGGTCTTGAGGATACCTACAGCATGAGGAAGAAAAGGAGTCAGGTACAGGGAGAGGAAGTATGCATATCCAAAAAGAAAGTTTTCAGGAAGATGTGATCAACAATATCAAAAGCCTTGGAAATTTTAGACAGGAATTTCAGCAATTAAGTGGGCAAGAAAATGTACAGCAGATCATAGAGGGAAAACTAAAGATATGGAGGATAAAATAAACAGACATTTAAGAAATATGACAAGACAAAGAAAGAGAACACACTAGGTAATTCTTTACATATACTTCTTAAATTTCGTTATTTGAAAATTTTAACTCTGACCATATACTAATTTACCAGGCTAAATATTAGCAGCATTGCTTATATTGAACAAACCTGATATAAATAAAATTAATAATTTTGCAATATATTAAAATACAGATCAGATCTCATTAAAATTATCCATAGTCATCACCCTTGGGTAACAAAAATAACTTTAAAATCCCAGTTGATTCTCTAATTAGAATTTGGTCACCCTTATTAAGTTAGGACTTGTATATACTAAAGAACCAATTTCATAGGGAGAAAGCTATAATATCTCTAATATCCTCAAGGTACACTCTACAACCATCAGATAAGAAAATATACTCACTTGGACAAGGAAAAGGCATCATCTATCAGCTGCAGTCTGTGAATAACAGGAATAGCCTGAAGAATTCAAATATGTTCAGGAAAAAGAAGAGAATATTTTTTAATAAAAATATAATTTTCAAAATAATAACAACATTGAAAGGTCTTTGTTTCTTGCAAAACACTTTCTTGTGATTTATCTCAACTGCAGAGAAATGATAATTACCAAGAACAGGCTCCATAATTTATTTATAATGTATCTGTTTTTGATAAATGCATCCCCTGGATGCCAATTCATAAGGTTTAAATATGGCAGAGAGTTTTGCCAAATGACTCCCTGAAACATACCATATCAAAAAAATAAGACAAGAAATCAAGTTAAAAAGACTTCTTCAAATCAGAAAGATTACATTGAATTGTATCATAATATCCAAACTCCTGTCAAGGAAATATTCAGTATAGTAGGCCTTAAATTATTATTATTTTTTTCTTGCTGTTGAATTGAATCCAACTCATGGCAACCCCATATTACAGAGTAGAACTGCTCCATAAAGTTTTCTTGGCTGTAATCTTTACAGAAGCAGAGCGTAGACCTCTCCTCCATGGCACCACTGGTTGAGTTCAAATCTCCAACATTTAGATTAATAGTCAATCTCAAACTGCTTAAGCTACTCTCCACTTGAGGATTTTTCTAGGCCTTACCCACTGCCTTCGAGTGGGTTCTGACTCATAGCAATCTTATAGTAAGGAATAGAACTACCCCAAAGGGTTTCCAAGGCTGCAATCTTTATGGAAGCAAACTACCACATCTTTCTCCAGTGGAGAAGTTGGTGAGTTCAAACCATCAACCTTTTGTTTAGCAGCCAAGTGCTTAATGACTGCACCACCAGGGCTCCTTTAAGGAGGTCTTAAGCACATGTTATTTAGCATTATTTTGGCAACATTAAAGTACTCTTTTAGATGGTATCTGTCTTCATAAGGTTTTGCCAATTTGACACAATACCACCAACATTGTCCTTTATATCCACAAAAAACCAAACCCACTACCATCCAATCGATTCCCACTCATATTGGCCCTATATATAGGACAAAGTAAAACTGCCCCCTCCATAGGATTTCCATGGCTGTAAATCTTTACGGACATAGGCTACCTCATCTTTCTCCCATGGAGCAGCTGGTAGGTTTGAACTGCCAACCTTTTGTTTATCAGCTGATAAATGCTTTAACCACTGCACCACCAGAATTCCTTATCCATAGAAATGTTGTTGTTGTTGTTGTTGTGTGCCGTTGAGTCGGCGCAGACTCATAGCGATCCCTCCTTGGGTTTCCGATGCAGTAACACTACAGAAGTAGATTGCCCAACCTTCCTTCCGAGGAGTGGCTGGTGGGTTTGAACCGCCAGCCTTCTGGTTAGCATTCAAGTACCTTAGGCACTATGCTACCAGAGCTCCTAACCATAGTAATGTTGTTGTTGTTGTTATTTGCCGTCGAGTCGGCCCCGACTCATAGCGACCCCTCCTTGGGTTTCCGAGGCAGTATCACTACGGAAGTAGGATTGCCCAACCTTCCTTCCGAGGAGTGGCTGGTGGGTTTGAACCGCCAGCCTTCTGGTTAGCAGTCAAGTGCCTTAGGCACTATGCTACCAGAGCTCCTTATCCATAGTAAGGTAGGGGTCAATTGACAACTTAATTCTATAGGCTTCTGCTTGAGTTCCTTGGCCAGATGATAGGACTCTTCAATTTATGCTCAGTCTCCTAATGGTACCCAAAGCCTCCTACAGCATTCCTTCAAAGTGTTCTAGCACTTTCATATTTTGGTCCTAGAAAATTTATCTTCACTACACCCATTTGCTCTGGTGGCGTAGTGCCTAAGGCATTTGATTGCTAATCAGAAGGTTGGCAGTTCAAACTCACAAGCCACTCTTTGGAAGGAAGGTTGAGCAATCTAATTCCATAGTGATACTGCTTGGAAACCCAGGGAGGGGTCGCTATGAGTCAGATCCAACTTGAGGGCAGTGCATTGCATTGTTGTTGTTACACCCCTTTGAGCATCTGAGCAAACCAAGGTTAATTCTTCCCTTGATAATGGTCTCATTTTTTTTTTTTTTTTTTTTCTGGCAGTAATAACACATTTTCTAGAATAAAATTAGTAATAAAAATTCTATTTTACTTGCTCACCAACTATGCCGTAGAAATAATTTCCCTCAGTTTTTCAATAAGTAAATCTACAATTGTTTCAAGAAATCAATTTAATGCCTGCCCTTAAAAATTAGTAAGATCAAGACACTCTGAAAAAGATTTAAAAATAATTAATCATATTTAGTAAAAGATATCAAAATTAAAAACCTTACCTTAGGATCTTTTTCAAGCTCTTCATTCAGTTTCTTCCAACCTAACTTATCATAATTAACTCTATAATACCCAGTCATATTTAAATTTAAAATCACCCAATCATGGTCAGAATCTGAAACTTGCATTTCAGGGAATACTTCTGCAAAAGAATATGTGAATAGTTTGAAATGGTACTTTAAGATTTTAGTACATGCTTATACAGTGTTAATTCTAAACTCCCCAAAACAAAGACATAAAAAGTAAAGGAATTCTAAAATATGTATCAATTTTACTAAATAATATTTTTTCCACATACAACGCTTTTGATTTGGAACTTTTCTTCAAAACTATATATTCAACAAGAATGATATAATATTTTAGCATTAAATTAGACAGATTTTCAAAAGCTAGACAATTCAACATTTCCATCTCTGCCTCTCTATATTTCACTTTCTGCCTTTATGTGTACATGTGAAAATGTTTTTAAAATTTGTTACTTACTGCTGCTTTTATCTAGCCAGACTAAAGATTGTGTAGTTCCATTTTTTATCCAAAGAATAGGGACAATCCATGTGTCACTTATTGGAAGAAAATAAAAAATGCAGTTAATTTTCACACATAAGAATATAAACTCTGAGCCAACATCAAGTGAGACGACAAAATAGCAGACAGAGGTCAAGTTCTTTGGTCCTTCCCTCTGGATATGCAGGACTTTGCTCTTAGGATTATTTGTTGTGGTTTTCTCAAACCAGTTTTGCTTTGGCTATTACTTTAGTCCTCTCTTTTGTCTTAGAGATTTACTTCTTATGATGTAGATAGCTACTAACACTGTATCATATCTGAAATATTTAAAGGTTGTTTATATTAAACAGTAGCCTCCTGGCTTCTCCTAAAAGTAGTTCAATGTTGCTGACAAACCTATGACCCTCTATGCTAAGAGAAACCAAGAGTCATTTAAGAAGAAAAAGTTTGACAAACGTTTCAAAATACTTTCTGGTCTCAATTTTTTCCCCATCAGAAACTGTTGAACAGGAGTCAGACAGGACATTTATGCTCACTGAATTGCTACATTCTTCCACAGTGGTGGACGTGATCTGGATGAAGTAGCAGACCACAGGGAGTACATTAGTCATTGGGGTTTAGGTAATATTGCCAATCTTGCTCAAATTTTTATCAGCCTGGCTCTCAAAGACTTGGAACTGTGGGTCTGTGTTAATCTGCATAACTAAGATGAACACCCCTTCTCAAAATCCACAGATTATAATGAGAAGGGACCTTTGGGTCTCCTCTTCCTCTGTCTCTGGCGTTTTAAAGAAAGAGTAGGCCTACTGGAAAATTTTGGTGAATGATATCTGAAAATTAATTACTCACTTGTGTGATACTTCCTACAAGGATATGTGAGGGTCAAAAGTAATAAGAGTTGAAAATTGTCTAATAAGTCAAGAAAGTGAAAGAGACCAATGCACTGATATTTTATACTCATTATTTCATTTTTGTAACAATCCCCTGGGTGTGTTATTACATTCACTTTATAGATAAGACAATGGAAACCCGGAGAGTTTAAATAAAACTTATCTAAGCTTTGAATTTTGGTGAAATCATATTTAAACCAAGGTCTAACAGAATCTAAAGGACATAATTCTAATATTGTAGGTATGGCTACAGATACACACCCACACACCCCTATTCCTCATAGATAAAATTACCACTCAGTTCCATTTCTAGAGAAGACCATCTTGTAATAGGACCCTTTCTACTCTTAACTAATACCTGGCTACCTGTGGCTCTATATTATTGCCTTGTACTCAGAATCTTGAGCAATTCACCTTTCATCACTTGTGGAGCCCTAAATTCCAGGGAAGGGAACAGACTTGAATCCCTAATGCAGGTCTCTGGCCTTGCTCAGCACACCATGGTTTTCTCTGGTTCCTCAAGAGCACCCCATTAACAACCCAGAGTAGAGCCCTAGGTCACCTTCTCTGGTCACTTTGTAAAAGAGTGTGTGTGTATCCAGCAGGGGTGATGATTTTTCACCCTCAGACTCCATTTCAGCAGAGCTCAACCCCAAGGAAGATGAAGACAAAAAAGAGCAAATTAACCTACTTGTAGGTTAGAAGAGTCTGATTTTTAACCTTTCCAAGATAAAATGGCTCCTGTTTCATGATGCCAGTGGATACATTTAAAGTGATAACTGGAAAGCCACTCTTGTGTGTCCAACTATCCATTATACTTTTTACTGTTGCAGGCAAAAGAATTTTACTCTGGTCATCTATGGCCTGTTTCAAAAAATCATCACAAAAGCAGATAGATTTATCATCAAAGCCTCCTGAAGTAGCAATCTCCTAAAATAAATTAGGTAGCTATTCTATTCCTTCTTTATGTAGCAATTCCCAATAGATGATATTCTGGTTCAAATTCAGAACTCTGTTCACCTCTACAGGAATGATTCCTTAGTTCATTCATTCACTCAATACATATCATGGCTCTAATATGTGCCAAGGTCTCTTCTGGGTACTGGGATTACAGCGATGACAATAAAAGACACAACCTCTGACATAAAGGAACGTCACAAACAAGGCAAAATTGTTTTCCTGTGGCATTGTTGTATGAGCAGACCTTCAGATCTTGATGCCCTGCATCATGTCAGAAAGAGACAATTACCATTTGAAAATGCCTCCAAAGATCATCTTGCTCAGCATTTGAGTAAGAAAAGGTCTCCAGATATGACTAAAAATAGAAAAGTTAAGGTTAAAATAAGTAACTTGCCAAGGCAATTTCTGTTTTCTGCTATCCAGGTAACAACAATTTTGTAAACTCACCTTGAGTGCACCAATAAACACATTCTCATTCAGGAAACTGGAAAGCATCCGTGCCATGGATGCTCCCTAGGACATAAGAAGTGGTCCATCATTTGAATGAAAGTCAATATCTACATACTGACACATTCCATTTTCATAAGCAGTATTCTGGGCTGTGCTCTTGATTGCATTTTCCACTCTAGTTCAATGTTTGGTTTACTTTAAAATATACTAATAAAATAGTAGGTTGTCACTAATTAATAGATGAAAAGTGAGTAAATATCCAACATAAAAAGAATGCAGGGTACACCAACAATTTTAGAAATTGAGATATTTACATGGCAAAAAATCCCTCCACCAATAAAGGGATTCACTTAATAATAGCAAGTTCTCTAAGTTTATTTATAATGGTAGATAACACAGAACTTCTAACAAATATTTACTAGAACTGATTTAACCACATTTTCTGAAACCTATCTACTGATTACAATTAAAATTATTCATATTAAAAATTTATAGTAGTAGATCAATCTATGACTCTATAACCCATTTAAGGAGTCCTGGTGGCACAACAGCTAAGCACTAAGCTGCTAACCTATAGGTCAGCAGGTGGAACCCACCAGCCACTTCTTGGGAGAAAACACCTGGCAATCTGCTCCTGTAAAGATTACAGCCTCGGAAACCCTATGGGGGTAGTTCTACTCTGCCCTATAGGGTCTCTATGAATTGGAACAGCACACACCAAACATAACCCATTTAAAGCAACTTTCTAGAACAGTGCAGAAGAAAAGGAAACATATAACTGATTTTACCTTGTTGTAAGTAAATAAGTCAAAGAGTTCATTTATTTGACTTGTTTCTGTGAAATTTTCCACCTTCATGGATACAGCTCTAGACACCAGGGCATGATCTTCTCTGAGGACACCATGTAAAATGTTAGAAAAAAATACCTCATTCTATAATGGAAAAGATTGAGTCACATTAACTTCTGCTGTATCACAGAAACATAAAATACAATGTCCCTAAAATTCTTTTGAAACTGATAATAAAGGAAGAAGACAATCATTGAGAAATGCTCTGTGAATTCCAAATGTCAAATAAGACAAGGTTCCTTAAATAACAACATTCAGGATAGCTTCCTTCTAATTTTGTATCTTTTTCTTTTAGATTCTCAAAAAATAAAATTTTCTAGTCAATTTTAAAAGCTAATATGGTTTTCAAGAAAACTACCCAGTTTTCTCCTAAGGAAGTCTCTGGCCACCAGATAGGGTCTTCTGGGAATAACACCTCTGAGTGGATTTAATCTTCTAGAAAGTTATTGGTAATTTTATTAGTAGTCCCTTAAATGGACCAGTTGCACTTAGATGGACGTTTGCCAATCAAATGCATGCCTGATTTACAAATACACATGGATGCATGTATAATGAATTACAATAAGAAATAAATCCACAGACCGGATACTACAGTTCATGACTCTTGCATTATAGGAAGACAATTATATATTACAACTACTCCTCACTTATAGACTATCTCATTATCCTATATTTTGCACTTACAGCAATAGTAAAAACCTGCCATCTAGCTATTTTACACATTAATGACATACATCTGGCAGTAACAAAACCCAAGGTGCTAGGCAAAAGTAAAGCTGGCTGTGATGGGTAAAGTTATGTGTGAACTTGGTTAGGCAAAAATTATCAGTGGTTTGGTAGTTATATAGTGATGTAGTTGCCAATTATATAATGATGTAATTTGGCAGTTATGATATGATGTGCTTATCCTCCATTTTTGCATAATGCTGATTCTCATATAATGACCTCATCTTTGAAATCTAACCATGTCAATAAATGAGGAACAGGTAGTGAGAAGTACAAGGAGCCCTGGTGGCACAAAGGTTGAGTGCTTGTCTGCTAATTGTAAGGTTGGCAATTTGAACCCACCCAGTGGTTCCCTGGTAGAAAGATCTGGTATCTGCTACCATAAAGAATACAGCTCAGAAAACCCCATAGGACAGTTCTACTTTGTCACATAGAGTTGCTATGTGTAGAAATTAAGTTGATGTCAAACAGCAACAACAATAAGTACAGATTTCTCTAAAAGACTAGCTATCTCTCAGACACATTTTCTTTACCTGAAGGAAAGCTAGAAGGAAATAAGTTTATAGTCTTTGGGATGAAGGAGCCAACACATAGGACAGCAGAGAAGCTGGTGGAATAACTCACTCAAACCCTGAAGAGCTGTAAGAACTGGGGAAACATGTGAAGCCTCACTCTGTAGGGACCATCTCTGGGGCCCCCAAGTTTACTCTTTCACCCCTGTACAGTGTCAGATAAGCTGTCACATTCTGCCCCACTTCCATCTGTCATTGTCCCAACCAACTCTCTCCAGTTAGCACAATATATTTAGATTTATTAATACCATCAATTAGGCTATCACCAAACTCTGCCACCCTCACAGGCAATGAATGCTATGTTTAAGCCTACTGTTGCAGTCACTAGGTCAATCCATCTTTCTGAGGGACTTCCTCTTTCTCACTGAACCCCTACTTTATCAAGTGTGATGTCTTTCTCCAGGGACTAGCCCCTCCTGATAACACGTTCTAAGTATGTGAGATGAAATCTCATCCTAGCTTGGAAGGAGCGTTCTGGCTGTACTTCTTCCAAGACAAAATTGTTCACTCTTCTAACAGTTCATGTTATATTCAATATCCTTTGCCAACACTATAATTAAAAGGCATCGTTTCTTCTGCAGTCTTCCTTATTCACTATTCAGCTTTCACATGAATGAGGTGACTGAAGATACACCATGGCTTGGGTCAGGTGCACTGTAGTCCTCAGGATGACAACTTTGCTTTTTAACACTTTAAAGAAGTCTTTTGCAGCAGATTTACCCAATACAATGTTGTTGGTTTTCTTGACTGCTGCTTCCATGGCCATTGACCATGGATCCATATAAAGTGAAATCCTTGATAACTTCAATCTTTTCTACATTTATCATGCTGCTCCTTATCAGCCCATTTGTGAGGATTTTTGTTTTCTTTATGTTGAAGTGTAATTCATACTGAAGGCTGTAGTCTTTGGTCATCATCAGTAAGTGTTTCGAGACCTCTTTACTTTCAGCAAGAAAGGTTGTGTCATCTGGATATCACAGGTTGTTAATGAGTTTTCCTTCAATCCTTCATAAGGTCCCGCGTCTTTTACTTGCTCAACATACAAATTGAAAAAGTATGGTGAAAGGATACAACCTTGACATATACTTTTCCTTATTTTAAACCACACAATATTCCCTTGTCCTGTTCAAATGGTCTATATTTTTGCGTGAGCACATTTAAATGTTCTGGAATTTCCATTCTTCACAATGTTATCCATAATTTATTATGATCCACACAACCGAATGCCTTTGCATAGTTAATAAAGTGCAGGTAAATATCTTTCTAATATTCTCTGCTTTCAGCCAAGATACATCTAACATTAGCACTCATTCTAATCTTCTTAATCCCTCGTCTTAATCCAGCTTGAATTTCTGGCAGTTCCCTGTAAATGTACTGAATTCAAAAATTCAATTTTTGAATTATCTTCAGCAGAATTTTATTTGTGCATGGTATCAATGATATTGTTGGATAATTCCCACATTGTTGGGTCACTTTTTTTTTTTTTAATAGGCACATGTATGGGTCTTTTCCAGTCAATTGGCCAGTAGCCATCTTCCAAATTTCTAGGCGTAGACAAGGTAGGGTTTCCAGCATTGCATCCATTTGCAGAAACATCTCAAGTGGTGTTTTATCAATTCCTGGAGTCTTGCTTTTTTCCAATGCCTTCAGTGCAGCTTGGATTTCTTCCTTCAGTACCATCAGTTCTTAATCATATGCTACCTCCTGAAATGGTTGAACACTGAGCTGTATTCCTTTCATCTTCTTTTGATGCTTCCTGCATCATTCACTATTTTGCACATAGAATCCTTCCATATTGCAACTTCAGGCTTGATTTTTTTCTTCTCTTCTGTCAGCTTGAGAAATGCCAAACATATTCCTGCCTTTTTCTTTTCTAGCTCCAAGTCTTTGCATGTTTCATTAGAATACTTTTCTGTCTTTTCTCAAGCTGCCCTTTGAAATCTTCTGTTCAACTCTTTTACTTTATTTCTTCCATTTACTTTAGCTAGTCTACATTCAAGAACAAGTTTCAGAGTCTTTTCTGACATCCATTTTTGCCTGCTTTTTCTGTATTTTTAATGACCTTTTGCTTTCTTCGTGTATGATGTCCTTGATGTCATCCCACAACTTACCTGATCTTCAGTCATTAGTGTTCCTTGAGTCAAATCTATTCTTAAGATGGTCTCTAAATTCAGGTGGATATACTCAAGTTGATACTTTTGCTCTTGTGGACTTGTTTTAATTTTCTTCAACTTCAATTTGAACTTGCATATGGGCAATTGATGGTCTGTTCTGTAGTCAGCCACTGGCCTTGTTCTGACTCATGATATTGAGCTTCTCCATCATTTCTTCCCACAGATGTAGTCTATTTGATTCCTGCATATTCCATCTGGCAATGTCCATGTGTATAGTCATCATTTCTGTTGCTGGAAAAATTATTTGCAATGGAACAGTATTTGGTCTTGCAAAATTCTAACATGTGATCTCTGGCATCATTCCTACCACTAAGGCCATATTTTCCAACTGCTGATGTTTCTTCTTTGTTTATAACTTTCACATTCCAATCACTAGTAATTATCAAAGCATCTTGATTGCATGTTTGATCAATTTCAGATTGCAGAAGTAGGTAAAAGTCCTCAATTTCTTCATCTTTGGCATTATTGGTTGGTGTATAAATTTGAATAATTGTTGTATTAACTGCCCTTCCTTATAGTCATATGGATATTATTTCATCACTGACAGTATTGTACTTCAGGACAGATGTTGAAATATTCTTTCAGATAATGAATGTGACACCATTCCTCTTCAATTTGCCATTCCTGGCATAGGAGACCATATGATTTTCTGATTCAAATTGGCCAATACCAGTCCATTTCAGTTCACTAATTCCTAGGATATTGATCTTCAAGCCTCCCACTTCATTTTTGACCACTTCTAATCTTCTAAAGGAGCTCTGGTGGTGTAGTGCCTAAGGCATTTGACTGCTAGTCATAAGGTCGGCAGCTAAACCCCACAAGCCACTCTGCAGAAGGAAGACTGGGCAATCTAACTTCCATAAATATTTGCTGCCTCAGAAACCCAAAGGGGGTCACCATGAGTCAAAGTCGACTCGATGGCAGTAAGTTTTGTTTCATTTTCTAATTTTCCTTGATTCACATTTTATACATTCCATGTTCCATTTACTAATGGATATCTGTAGCGTGTCTTGTCATTTTGAGTAGTGTCACATCAGCAAATGAAAGGCCCAAAAGCTTTACTCCATCCATATCATTAAGGTTGACTCTACTTTAAGGGACAGCTCTTCCCTGGTCATATTTTGAATAACTGCCAACCTGAGGGGCTCATCTTCTGGCACTGTATCAGACAACGTTTTGCTATTTTCCATAAGGTTTACTTTGACCAATTTTTCAGAAGTAGATCATCAAGTCCTTCTTCCCAGGCTGTTTTACTGTGGAAGCTTTTCTGAAACCTGTCCACCATGGGTGGCTCTGCTGGTATTTGAAATACTGGTGGCATAGCTTCCAGCATCACAGCAACTGCACACTACCAAAAGACAACAAACTAAAAGGTGAGTCGTGAGTTATTTAAGTACAATGTAGAAAATAAAGGAAAACCCATCCACAATCCCACACCCTAACATAACCACTATTATATTAGTGTATTTCCTTCTAATATTTTTTCCTACGTATCAATTTATTCTCTTTGTTGTAAAAACTTTTTGTCTTGCCTATTTACTTATCATACAGCGTTTTTAAATATTGCTGTCTCATCTTCATAATTATCCCTTATAATGGTTATTACATAATA